AAGCATTCTTAGAAAACATGCCCTATTACTGCCAAACACGGTTCATTTCCTCGAAAGCAACGTACCATTTGAAAACAACAAGAAACTGGATAGCAAACTTCGTCCTCGATGCGCCAACGACGCAAGCGCCGAGCTCTGTACCACAGTAGACGTACATGATGAACTCAACATCTTTTAAACAGTAATGCGGTCTGAAGCCGTTTTGAAACGCTTCGTCCATTAAATCCAACCAGAATTCTTTTCATCCCAATATTAAAATCACATCCAATGTCACGGCCTCATTTTAGAATGCAATTTCTCACTACCATGTACATGCCTGAAAGAAACTGAGGCCCAGCTTAGCATACCAGTTGCGATTAAACAATATTTCTATGATTCAAGCAAAACTGGTAGATACCCCTGTTTCGTCGTCATCGCAAGTGATTTTGATGGTCGTCCTTGAGAGTAAAAATCGCAAAAGAATGGACATCAAAACTGCGACAAGTTGGCTTTAATGTAAAAGTACAATGAACCAGTTTTCATTCTGTATCTTATCCTAAAACAAACTCAGAGAAGCCAATTGTTACTAGATGCCACAAACTTTAGAATTTCGGAATCCTCCGTACGGTGTTTGCAAAATAATATTTATACGGCGTAACGTGTAAGCACGTATGTTAAACATCATGAAAGTAAACAGCTGTCAGTAGAGTTGGTTTCAAAGCAGCGTTGCGTTCGACAAGATGTTTATCCACTTCTCCGCTAAGTACTGTACTATAGACATACTTAAATAGGGCGAGAAGCAATACCAGAAATGTCGGTTTCAGCAGTTCCAGATATTCAGCGATGATTCGAGACGTTCCTCACAGACAAAGAACATACCGAGGAAGTGGATATTTGTAGCACATAATTATCAGGTTACAAAATCCCTAAAACAGATATGCGGCAACTAAAAAATGGTAAATGAAAACTAAACACTAAGAACATGTAAAATAAACATAAATCAGAAAGCTGACACACGGCATGGCCAGGGGGTACTACAAGATGCGCACAACTTCTATTACCTAAGCTCGATTGTGTCAAGAAACGGAGACTGCCGCTTGGAAACAACCACGAATTAAGGAAACACTTTTGACCCATTTAATAAATTGTGAAAAATATGGATAGACGTTAATGACCGCTCAGAAACAAAAATAAACATAACCAGGGCTGCAATTCAGCCGACACTACTACACGCCTTTGGCTAACAGAACATAATCGCTGGCTCGTTGCCATTCAAAAACACTGCAAGAAGTACAACATGGAAATCAACTAACAAGAACATGTAAAAAATGACAAAGTTACACAACTCGCAAAGCTGCGATGCATAACTGAAGCAATCCTGGAAAAACGTAGGCCATTTGAGACTCTGCCAGTGAAACACAAGTCGATGACAACACGACAAAAACCTCCCCTCGCAACGAAAACGCCGCGACGGGTGGCTTAATATTTAACCAAAGAAGGAAAAATGTGGAGGCAGTTGACTCGAATTACGGACCCTTTTTAAATTGAACTCGCCAGAAAAAGTCATATTAAGTGAACACGTCGAAAAACGACGCCGTGTGAAAACTCGAACTTTAACGTGGAACAATTTCCATCGCACATTGTAAAACTTAATCAACGCGTAAACAGCGTTAAAGTAACATTAACGTTAATGTTCTCATTTTATTAGCTTAAAACTAAGCTAATAAAGCTACTAAAGTAGAAAAGAAACAATGGTAAACCCCGACATGGTTATTTTAGTCATTGCAACTGACGAAACGTAACGGATAGCTAAAGCATAGTCGCAGCTGTCATGACAATCTGGCGAAGGTAATTCTATCGATCAAAAGGCATCTGAGTCACTGCATGGTTTCCCTCCATTCCTAAAAAAGTAAGTCCTTACCGCCGGAAAAGATTTGAGCAGAGACTAAATCGGAGCAGGGCAACTCACAAAGAAGGATGCATAAGGGCATTCATCAGATGATTATCCATTTTTCAAGGACAACATTCTTTTACATAAACTCATACTGTTTCATAGAGATCCTCACCCTGAGTCATTTGTATACGCAGGACGACTTTTGTTTACGATGCTCGTAGCATTTACAACTTTACAACATCTTTGCTACAAGACACCGGTTAACGCGTCGTTGAAAATAACATTCTTCTCTGAAAACAAATCTGCCCCTACCCAACTGCTCCATAGTGAATGCTGGCCTACTCATCGAAGTCCTCCGTGTTTGAGTTTCAACAAAAAAAGGCATGGGCTGGAATAAATGGTTCATGCCCCACCAGTCTGCCTAACAGG